ATTGTACAACTGGAGCCAGATATACTGGTATGTTGGATATATAAGGCAATCAGTTTTTCTTTATGCTTAATTCACTTTGAGTTAGGTTTCTGTCCCTTATAAGCAACAGAGTCTTGACAGGGAAGTGTGAAAGAATTTATAAGGAGCAAAGTACTATACTCATGTAAGTGCCATGTTGTTCTGCACATAGCCATTTCCTGTAGCTTACACCACACATTTATATATTACTCAAACCTACACAGACTATATCTTCAGAATTGCTAACAAATATCATTATGAAAAGCGAGTCTCCTAGAGCAGAAAATACATAATATAAGTAGTGTCAGAAAGTACTCAAAAATCAACCAACCAACCAACCAACCAACCAAAACCAAACTGATACAGATGTCTCAAAAGGGCAGAGGAACCAACAGAAGGAGCTCCCAATAACCAAAGGAAAAAAAATTTTGAGCAATAAAATAAATAAAGTAGTATTGGATTGTATCCCAAAGTATAAAATAAATATTCATAAGGCTATACTGATGGGAATAAGTGGATAAATAAGTACGTAAGGAAAGAAAAACCAATCTCCCATGCCGAAGAGTTCCAAATAATTTATGCAGACACTCCATCCCTGAGGAAGGAAGCAGTGTGGCTTCCAGTTGTGATTTTCTTCCGAAGAGGAGAGTATAAGGGAGAAGCAGAGCAGCATCCCAGTGGAAAATGGATGGACACTTCTGCAAGGTGATGGAGGTCAGCTCCAACACGAATCTGTCATGTTGATGGTGTGCACACTTGACTGATGTGATCAAGATGGCACTTTGCTTTGTGGGCCTCCTCCAAACACACACACGATCTCTGTCTAATCAGAAGAAAAATATCAAGCAAATGCCAGTAGAGAAATACTTTATAAAGTACCTAATCAAGATTCTTCAAAATGGTCAAGGTCATAAAAACAAGGAAAGTCTGAGAAAGTGTCCCATCCAAGAGAAGCCCAAAGAAATTTGAGGACTACAGGTCATGTGGCATCCTGGTGGAGACTCTGGAACGGGAAACAACATTAAGTGAAGCCAAATTAACTATGAACTTAAATAACAATGCGTTCTGTTTTGGCTCATTAATTGTGACATGTAAGATATTAATATGAAAAGAACTGCGTATGGAATATGTGAGAACTCTGCACTGTCCATTTTTCTGAAAATCAACAGAAATTTCTTAAAATGCTACCTATTTAAACATACTATTTGATGCTGATTGAATAAAGCTCCTTTCACATATATATTTTTTTAACAATGGTTTTGATCCTTTTGTATACTTCTGTCATTTGTAAAGTAGAAATTTCCAAATTCTCTGATAAGTGGATGTTGATCCATAATGGGAGCAGGGGAGGGGGGCATGGGAAAAATGGAGGAACTTTGATGGGGCAAAGGGGAGGGAGGGGAGGAGAGAGTGCATGAGGGCAGGAAAAATGATGGAATGAGATAGACTTCATTACCCTAGGTACACGTGTGACTGCACATATGGTACTACCCTACATCATGTACAACCAGAGAAATGAAAAGTCGTAATGCAATTGTGTACAATGAATCAAAATGCATTCTGCTGTCATATATACCCTAATAAAAATTAATTAATTAATAAAAAAGAAATTTACTTATTTTTTTACAACTAAAAAGTTAAACCTACCAACTAATGTTCTATATTTACTGAAACAAAGAAATGTGTGTGTATGTTGGTGTATAGGTGTGAGTATGTGTATGTGTATGAGTGTGTGTATATGTGTGTATGTGTGTGAGTGTGTGTATATTTGTGTGTATGTGCAAGTGTGTTGTGTATATGTGTATTGTTTTAGTCAGCTTTTTGTTTCTGTGACTAAAGGATCTGACCAGAACAACTATAGAGGAGGAGAAGTTTAATTGAGGTTTCAGAGGTCCTAGTCTATAGAAGGCTGGCTCCATTTCTCAAGGCTGAACATGGCAGAGGGAAGCAGGTCACATCATGGTGATCAAGAAGCAGAGAGAGAGGGCTGGGGATGTGGCTCAAGCGGTAGCGCGCTTGCCTGGCATGCGTGCGGCCCGAGTTCGATCCTCAGCACCACATACCAACAATGATGTTGT